CACATCTTCCCTTCTCTGAAGGTACATTTGTTCTTTCACAAGTACCCCCTTAAGATAACATATCAACCCCAAATTTTAACTACCCTTCTGAGTCATACTTCTTTATGAATTCCTTCTCTTTTTCTATATTCATAAGTAAATTTTTAAAAATTTTACCAATATGCATCCTTCAGTTTAATATTCAGGACTAGACAAAAAATAAAGAGGCAGATGAGTAAGTTTTTCCTTCTGATGCAGTTCAGTTTAAAAGGCCAAAGTAGGTTCGAGAACACTGCAGAGAGTAAGACAGTGCTTGATAGCTCCCGTCTAGTCCTGACCAGTGAAAAGGTCTGGAGTGAAGGACAAGGTTTTGGAACACAATACCAAAGAAAACTCTTGGTTGGGGAGGTGACGGTGGGCTTTGATGGAAAAAGTATAAAAAAGTTACCTAGGTAGGCTGGGGCTGTTTCTGTGCACAGGGCAGGAGTCCCAGGCTAAGAGCCAGGAAAGTTATCAGTGTAGCTGGCAAGGCCCGCTTTCCTCAGAGCTGCCTACTGTACAGGTCCCAGGCCACCTCCAGCAAAGGTGAAGGGTAAAGCCTTATCTACCAGAGATGACACCATCATCTTTTATTTTTTCTTGTTCATCTAATGTCTAGTGGTTTTAGTTTATAGGGTCCAAGAATCTGTATTTTCTTAAAATAATATGTTAATTTATTCTGAAGAGTAGGACTTTTATAACACAGATATCACCCTGGAGGTAAACATAATACTAGTTGTTTATAGTATGTTACAAAATATATAAGTAGATATAACATTCAGAATTTCTATGAAGCCAAGAATATTTAACAATCTAGTGCTCAGGCCAGAGGAAGGTATTATGACAGAGGAAAGAATAAAGACTAACATCTTTTATGAATTTAAATTTGTAAATTTCAAATTCTCATGAAATAAAATCAACTATGTACAAAGAAGTACACAGCTAAGGCAGTGAGATTGTGCAAGTCTGTTTCATTCTTCAAAAATCAACTAAGTAGTCCATCACATTACCAGCAACGAGGGAAATCATGCAATCAGGTAAATACAAATAGGGAAATATGGACAAAACAGGATAGCTATTTGCAACAAGACAGTTTTCTAAACTTCACAGAGAACAATGTACAGGGACTGGTAATATAACTATAGATTGCATGCTATCATGTTTGAGCCTTGTATCTTCAACAATGTAAAACATATTAAGAAACAAACAAAAGCAAAAGAATGCAAAAAAGGAGAAATGGCTGTAGCTTCTTAATTCCATTTTATTTGTCCATTTATTTACTTATTTTTAACATATAGTGAATGGAACCTATGTCCTAGTACATGCTAGGCAAGTGATCGACCAATGAACTATATTCCCAGCATCTCAATAACTGTTTTTTCCTTTTATTGAAAAATAGATTTTACATACACTATATCTTGATTACCATTTTCCCCTCCCTCCACTTCTCCCAGTACCTCCCTACTTCTCATCCCATCTGGATTCCACCCCCTTTTGCTTCTCATTAGAAAACAGGTGGATGCTGGAGAGATGACTCAGTGATTAAGAGTACTAGCTGCTTTTCCAGAGGACCAGGGTTCAATTCCCAGCACTTACATGGCAGGTCACAACTGTCTGTACCTCCAGTTCCAGGGGATCTGATACCCTCATACATACAAACAAAACACCAAAGCACATTCAGAATGATTTTCTCTTTTCTCAAAAGAGAAAACAAACAGGCATCTATGGGGTAATAAAATATAAAAGAAAACCAAGTAATTGGAGTAGGACAAAAACAACAGGAAAAAAGTCCAAGAAAAGGCACAAGAAACAGATATAAATGCAGAAACCCACTCGTTTGAACACTTAGGAACCCATAAAAACACAAAACTAGAAGCCATGATAGATACAAAGAACCTGTAAGGTAAAAAGAAAAATAGTAGAAAAAGAAGAAAAGGCCCAGACAGGACATTATAAGGCAAGGAACCTTGAAAGATGTCATTGAGTTTGCTTTCTTTTGGCCATCTACTGCTGGGCATGCAGTCTACCCTTAAGAGCAGTTTGTTTCCCGGTGAGAAAAGTCTGTATTTTAATAAGTACTTTGGTGAGTCTCATGCAGTTAGTCTCTGACATCATAGTACCATGGCTTGAATAAACTTAGTCATAAAAAGAATCAACAGTGGCACTTATTAAATTTCAGGCCCCACAACAGACAAGTATCTCTAACGGGGAGCCTGAGAACTGAGATTTTTAACAAGAGTCCCTGGTGATTCTCAGAGAAACCTGGGACTCTGCTATGGGGTTTTCTACTTTGTATTTTCTATTCTAAATGTAAAGACAAAACAGCTTAGAGTAAGAACAGCTTCATTGAAAAGAAAGTGGCTACCCTGCAGAAAGGGTAACACATTCTTGTCTAGCCCTGACTTTCTGGTGTTTCAGACCCATAAATCCAATGTTTATACTTCCTTTGAAGTCATAAAAACATCCTAAACTCTTTGTTTACGCCAAAAGTCACCATTTTTCTCTAACTCTAGTTCTTTCCAGTGTTCCCCACATCTCAATGATGACATTAGCAGCAATCTAATGGGACCACCAGAAACCAAGTTATTTTTAATTTCTCTTTTCTTAAGTCTTGATTTCAATCTGTCACCGAGGCCTCTCATTTTACTTTCTAATTTGTTCCATCTGCACTACTTATTTCCTTTTCTTTGTTCTTATCTCATTTCTCTTGAACTATGTCCAACTTCACCCATCACTTGTATACTCTAGTTGGTCCAATGTTGACGGGGATTGTGCTCCCACACTGTAGCTGGAATGATTTTGCTCTGATCCTATCGAATCTGCTGTTTTCTCAAGAGAAGGATTAACTTTTGTTTTTTAAAAAACAAGACCAGGGAAAGATCTCTTAGTGTGGTGCCCAGTTTCACTGTATCGCTGTCTCCCTGCAGTCTATGATCCAGCCACAATGGCCTCCTTTTAGTCTCTTAGGCTTGCAATGCCTGCTTCTAACAAAAGGCCTTTGCATATGACATTCCTTGTGTTTTCCACATTACATCTCTTATTCTTCAGATCTGAGTGTGGCTTTCTTAAGGAAGCTTTCTCTAACACCTCTGACCAGACTGATAAATGCCCCTCCTGTAAGGTTTCATAACACTTAAGAAAATTGATGTTTTTGGCTGAATTAGACTACTTATTCCATCAGCTTGAATACTTTGTTTCCTCTCTCAAAGTATTCTCTGGATTTCACTTAAATATGGGATATATTTCACAATATCCCCCATGTTTAGTTCTCTGCTTGTCTTCCCTCATTGACCCTTGACAAACTCTTCCTTTTTACTTCTTTTTTCATTTCTTTCATGGTTTTGAGGACGGAACCCAGGGCCTCGAACACACAAGATAAGTGTACTATCACTGAGCTATAACCTCAGTGAGATCTAACCTCTCCATATAGAAGACAAAGTGGTATAGTACTATCTTAAACAGTGCACATGGCTTTCTACTTTGTTTCCTCAATTGAAAAACTATACTTACTTTGAAATATTTGGTGGAATGATTTGGAGTTTGTTTTCCTTTTGAGCGAGTTAGGTTAAATTCTAACATAATTTCCGTAGGACATTTTCTCTCAGGATTAGATTTTTAGAGTCTCGTGTATCCAGCTAGCTCTTCTGTCTTATCCTGATTTATTTTGAAACTCCCTTTACGACAGACCATGATGGCTCAACGAAAAACTAGAGGACAAAGTGTTAACATCAGTCAGACATGTTCTTTCCTGTTCCTTTGAGGGAAGATCAGAGAAGCAACCGCACAGCAGCACAAGATTAAAATAAGTAGAAACTGCAAAGGCTAGGAAATAAAATAGTAAAATTTCCACATCAAAACCGGTGAAATGGTGTTCATTTTCTTCTACATTTGTTAGGTGACCCACACTGCCCATTAAAGTTTAGCTCTCTCCTCCAATTCTTTTAACAGAGCTGTAATTGGAGATTTTAGTATTTAGAGGGTTATCTTACAAATTAGATACACTATGTGTATGTCATCTTATCCTTCTTTGCCTGTGTCTTCATTGAAAACAGCATATTATACTTACTATGTTTTGAAAATCAGAAACATTTTCTTTAGTAAAGTTGAAGAACCCCCAAAACTGATGGCACACAGGATAAAACATAAAAGCCTTTGTTGAAGTTTCCTTTCTTGTTATGGGTTCACATCTCTAGCTTTTTCCCTTCCTCATTCAAGTGTTATTTATCACTGATACTTGCAGTTGACTAGGAACTTAACATTCTTTAGGAAGTGGAAATACAGCCCGATGGTTCTATGCTGGCCCTGTTAAGCAGAGCGTTTGGAGAGTGTTCTTGAGGTGAAGAGTGTACAAATGGAAAGCTCGGCCTTAGTGGCTACCCACAGGTTTGACAAGGCCATCCTTAGCGTTTGAAGTTCATCTCACTCTGGTGAGGTAACCGTCCAGTCATCAAAGGTCCCTTTTTGACGTCCACGAAGCAACAGAAGCCTCCAGGAGTCCAAGCAGGCGATAAATACATGTCTCCACTGGCTTGGCTGGGATTGGCCTCTCCTGAGCTATGTAGCATAAACCTTTCGGCTGCCTGATGGATGACAGCTGCTGGAACCTCAGGTACCAGCTCGTTTTCACACATCCTAGTCTAGAGCGTCAACACCCCTCTTCTTTGTCCTCTCCAGTCTTCTCTCTCGCTCAGAAGGTCTGGGACAATCAGGATGAGTTTCTTTCCCTGGCGAGACCTGGGGGAGGGAGGTTGTTCAAAAGGAAAGGAGGCAAAGAAAGAATAAGAATCAAACCCTAGTTAAGAGTCATCGGAACAGCCATACCCTGCTGTGACCTGCCGGGCCCGCGGAGGAGCCGCAGCCGGAACCCTCAGGCCAAACGCGTCGCTCGGAAGCACCAACGGCTGAGTCAGCCGGATCACGTGACGGGGGAGCGGCGCGCGCCGGCCGCGGCGCCCATTGGCTGGCGGCGGGAGCGCGGGGTTTGATGGGAAGGCATTGGCCGGGCCCTGCACTCTATCAGTAGCTGCTGCTGCTTGCTCCAGGGGCGGGATATTCTGTGGCCACCGGGTCTTGCGGGAGTGGACGCCGGGGCTGGGCGGCTCCCGCTTTCCTCAGGTAGGATGGTGACAGGGAGGGCCGCGTAGAGGGCGGCGCTCCGGGCTGCGGGAATCGGTGACCCGGGTGCTTCCGCCCATGCCAAGTGGCCTAGCGCTCGGTAGTGGCTGGGGACACGCGGCGGGGCTGAGCCCTAGTACACGGTGCTCACCTTCTCCCGGGGATCGCCCAGCACAGCTGCCCGAGCGGCTCCGGAGCGCACGAGACCCGGCTCTGCCTCCCCCAGGCCGGGGTTCTCCGGGCTAGGTTCTCAGGGATCCGGGCGCAGTGGCGGTGGTCTGGAGCCCGAACCCATGGCCCTACCTGTGTTGAGAAGTGCCCGAAGGCCCCAGGAAGCACCTCCGTAGCTGAAATCGCCACCCCGAGTGCTCTGATCGCCTGCGTGGCCACTGGAGCAGACAGGATGGGATGGACTGAAAACTGTCAGTGTCACGCTGCTCAGTCCGCGTGTGGGCGTGGATTGGGAGCGCCTTAGAGGAGCTGCTCCACGGCCATTGTCCTTATTTATCAGAGGGACCGCGGCCGGCGGAGGGGTGGAGGGGGAAGACGAAGATGATTGGTGTTAGGGGCGGCCGGGGCAAAGCTACTCCAAACGACGTCAGTAGATTTAATCCTTTGACGATGTGTTTTCGGCGGAGAGTTCGATTGATGAATTTAAGTTTTGTGTGCAGTTGTCAGCAACACCTGTGACTCACCGAGTTTTCCATGCTCTGCTCTTCCTTTTTGGCTTCTGGTTTGTTGTGCTAAGAGTCTGTTGTTTTCTGTCTCAGTGGCCTCGGTCTCAGCGTTGACAAAATTGTCTAGAGGTGTAATGGATTGGGAGTCAGTTTAGTTTCAGGCCTATGTTGAAGCTGACAGGCAAGACTAATCCCTAGTCCCCAAAGGTCTCCATAGTGTCTCAGGGGAACGGGGTTGATTTTGAATATATTTTCTTAAACAAGAGCGGCTCATTTAAACGTAAGAGTTTTAAAAAAGTTCCTTGACATCTATTGTCAGCACGGCAGTGCTGTTAATAAACGTAGTGTCTATAATGCCGGAAAGAATGCAAGGAAGGCCAGGTGACAATCATAAATATATGATTTCATATAGAAATCTCCCTGTACCTTTTTTTTTCTTTTTGTGGCAGTCATCTCACGCATCTGAAGTGCTTTTAGAGGTGTGTTTCTTTTCATTTATTTTCGGGCAATAAACTTGGTGTAAGATACTTCAGAATTGCCTGTTTGGATATTTGAAAGCGATTTTGAACAAATTGCATTAAGGTGACTAGTTTATATTTAAGTTTCGGACTTAAGTTAAACTCAACTTCCCTTGCTGTGTTCCATGAAGGCCTGAGAGTTTATTCTAATGAGAAGTGCCTGAAAAATAGTCTTCTTTATTTTCATGCTACAGTAAGTGAGAAAAATACTTTCAGTAAAGATATAAACTTATTTGTAAACATTTTAAGTTATGAAATAAATGCTCATTTAAAAATTTAGGCATATACTTTATTTAAATATTACATGTGGGTGTTTTTGGTAATAGCAGTAGTAATGGCTACACTTTATTAAACAGTGTGTGCTGAACACTGTGTGTTCACTTAATTTATACAATTCCATGGAATGTAAACATATTTACTGCTTTATAAACCAAGGCTTAGAGAGTTTAAGTAATTTACCTGAAATCATATAGCTAGTATGTGGCTGAGCCATGTTTTGAATCATTATCCCATTGTTTTGATGTGATTTGAAATGAGTTGAGAATTAAAGAAAAACATTTAAGATTTTAAGTTCTGTCACTTCAACCTGAGTGTGAATACCAATAGAAAATATCATGTAATTTGGTAGGCATTGCTGCTTATTGAAAAACACACTTAGGGAGTTAGAGAGATGGGTTAGAGGTTGGGAGCATTCAGAGGGTTATCATGGTGGTTCACGGCTATCTGCAGCTCTAGTTTTAGGGTATCTAACACCCTACCTAGCTCTGGGGTATCTAACACCCTAGCTCTGGGGTATCTAACACC